CTTGTTCGTCTTTGGGAAAGGGGTATTTGGGCCGGGCTTGGGGGGGGGGGGCGTGATCTGTTTAATATACTGAGTGAGTAGCTTCATGACTGCATTATCTATATGCATGCCACAGTAAGGATAACTGCCTCCTGCCCGGCACACAGTTTTAAACATTATATCAACTTGGAAGTTCCCCTTAGTGACTTATGTAATAAGGTAAAGAGCTTTGTAGTATGCGCTGTAATCCAGTCAGCAGGATTTCTCTGATTTAACAACAAAAAACTGAAATCTGATTGGTCGGTGTGGTTTATTACTACTTGCTCATCAGAGTTCTTTGTTCTACAGAATTAAATAAGTCTATCAGGGCTATGGACACAAGAGTTCAGATCTGTGCAGTGTATAGTGTTTTTTACGCATCTGAACACAGCGTTATTGTATATTATGGGCGCCCTGCACACAGATGTATTGTGCTCAGTAATTGTACACTGTATTCAGCTATGTGAAATCAAAGTACAACATTGACCACAATCAGTACTTCTATGTGATTTACATACATGTATGCATGTAAACACATGTATATGCAAACATGCTGTGATTAAAAAGCTAGAGGAAGGATTTTATGGATGTGAAAATTTTATAGCCATTTACACTAAATGGATGCACATTATAGAACGTTGTTTTTTTACTCTTACCTTATATGCCAGCCAGATTCTGCATAGATCTCGGTATTCTATTATGCCTGTACGCATGAGCCCTTAATGCATATGCACCTTATATACGTTGTTATTATGTAAACTTCTCATCATGTACATAAGGAATACAAACACTAATTGGCATACTAACCAATTGAAGAAATGGTCCAATAAAAAGCTCATTACTGACCCTACAGTGCATGGTTAACATCTCCGAATGTTTTGGTTTTGTCAAGTGCAGTTTTATTTACCTTTCCATGGAAGATGAACACACCAGTACATGCTTATGTTTGATGTTACATTCCCTGGCACTAATATTTACTGTTAGCTGAAGCTTTTCTTATTATCTATTGGGAAAATATGCTGAAAGAGAAAACCAGGGAAATGTATCCTAATAATAATTGAACCAACAAAAATCAATTACCCAGCAAATTTAGAGGGTATGTCCTGCAGCCACAGGGTGATTGCAGTGTTGCGACCCCCGTCTGAAAACACAGATCTCCAAAAAATACAGCCAGTGAATTATAGTGAATATCCAAAAACAAAGTTCAAACTCATATGGTGATGAGGGCAATGTGTAACAAAAAATCTTGAAGGGTGAATAATCGTCTTCCAATTCTTATATAGCGTGATTGTGTGTAAGTGATCTTTCAAGTGTCACACATATACCCCCGAGGCAGTGCACACTCACCGCATATAAATCCTTTTACAGCTTTACAGGCAACCTGAAGCCAGTGTTCGGGTCAGATTGCTCCTGGCGTTTTCTCCAGATAACCACCCAATGTTGTTTCCCATATATTTAAAAGAACCAAGAGGAGCTCCTCATGGTGCAGTAACTTTTAAACGTTTATTGATAAAATAAACGTTTAAAACGTTTAAAGGCTGCCTGTAAAGCTGTAAAAGGATTTATATGCGGTGAGTGTGCACTGCCCAGGGGGTATATGTGTGACACTTGAAAGACCACTTACACACAATCACGCTATATAAGGAATTGGAAGACGATTATTCACCCTTCAAGATTTTTTGTTACACATTGCCCTCATCACCATATGAGTTTGAACTTTGTTTTTGGATATTCACTATAGTTCACTGGCTGTATTTTTGGAGATCTGTGTTTTCAGACGGGGGTCGCAACACTGCAATCACCCTGTGGCTGCAGGACATACCCTCTAAATTTGCTGGGTAATTGATTTTTGTTGGTTCAATTATTATTAGTATTGACACTTAACATTTTCATTGTGTTTGATTATAGGGTCTCACTCTGGTTGTATAAATTTCAAATTTTTTTGAATAATGACACTTTTTGGTCACAAATATAAGAGTGTATTGTTTTATGACGCAACAAATGTTATAGCACATAAGGGGATTCAGCGCCGCAAAATCTTCATATAAAGATGCCAGTTAACCTGTCAGTATATTATTGTGATATGAGAGAGAACCCGAAAAAGCAAAATAAACACCAGGAAAGAAAACTGCAAGCAGGTCAGTGTGTGTCTAAAATGTTACATGGCATTGTAATATAGAAAGGTATCAATTCGCCCTGTACACAAGTGAAACATTACAATGGGGAGTATACAGTATCTTAAGATATATTTATTCAGTACCATCAAATGCACAAAAAAAGAAATCAAATCTGAAGATAGTTATTACCAATTGTTGGCGTGTGCTTTTATCTTTTTCTTTTTGATTGTTTTTAAAGCATGATTTATTTTACACAGATTAAAATCGATGTTCACATTTGATTGTACAAAAGGCACCACATATATGTACATACATATATTATTACAGTGAATTCTCTATCATCGTTGTTGCCTGTTTACATTCTCTAGCCCTTCGTTATCCTCATATAGACTCTAACCAATTTTACATCAATCATGATAGCGTATACTTGCTGTATCTACAGATTACAAACATGTAGTATATCCCAGGGCTTGGGGTTTTCGATTGTTTTTCCAACGCGTTTTGCTAAAAGAAGCTTCACCAGGGGAGTTAACAATCGGCAACCTTTTTTGTTTTTTAATCAGAGTATTTTTATTAAGTTTTTTTTCTTTTAACAGACAATATAAAAGGAATATATATAACAAGAAATGTAACACAAATAAGAAACAAACAAAGCCAATAACAAAAAAATACTAATAAAAAGGAGAAAACAATATATGCTTTTGTCTTTACTTTAGTATACATAATGCAAATATACTTAAAAAAGCCTACTAAAAGAAATTCCTGTTTCTGACTGGGGAAAAAACAGGAACTTTCCCTTAGCTGCAGCAAACAGAATCTACCCTTCACCTAGCATACAACAACCAAATACAGAAACAGATGTAATTTTTTTACAGATATACCATGACCTGGATGAATGAGAACCTTCACAGACATATTGCATAGTGTATATTTAGTGTTGTGTATACTACATATTTTTCTGTTTATGTAACAGTTTGCTGTATCCTTTACACTTCATGCTAACATTTTCTCGACGTTTGAGACTTTTTTTTTTTTGCATTGTCCTTTTAAAGTGTTTTTTGAAGAGCCAATAGCCTCTGTAGGCTACATGTATTTCCAATGAGTATCCTAATTGATGTGCAAAAGACGCAAAACAGCTTATGATTCTGATTTTTGCATGACAAAACTTAACCCTTATGTTTTTTTTTTAATAGTTGTAAAATAAATCAGTTATATGTGTGTATGAAGTTATAGTGCTATTTCCTAAAATGTTATTGTACAGTAAAGCATAGAAACAGTACCATTACCCACCTTCACTGCAGAAATGATATAACTTTTCAGAGAGCTGTTTTTTACAAACCATCCTATAGTACATTATCATGATATGCTTGTTTGCAGTGTAACCTATGTAAAGTGATTAAACAAATAAAACATTATTGAAATGTAGACCTTTTATGTCGTATTTCATTTCTAAGCTCTTATTGGGATACATTAGATTTGGGTGCTGTGCTAATACAAACTTCAACCATTTGTAAAAAATTATTTATTTAGGATAACTACAGAAATAATACAGATAGTCCTCCAAATGCAGCTAGATACCTTTGAGCTCTAAGGGTGTTAGTAAAAAGCGGGGTCCTAATAGCCACAAGATAACAAACATAACAAAATGAAGAGAGAATGGGAAGTGGGGGTAGAGCATATCGGAAAGGGAGTAAGAATAAAAGAAGGGCTAGTGTACGCCAGAGGTAAGGTACATGTAGCCAAATTACACCTTAGAAAAGTCAAAACAGGATCCAAGATGGGAAGACTGTTGCTCTGCATAGTTCCTCCACCTATGGAACTGTAGTACAAAATGAAAAAAGAAAACTTTCCCATCATCCTCACCTAAGAG